CTACCTAGGAAAACTGTGGCCCAGTTGAAAACTAGTAAGCAGCCAGGTCTAGTTCAGTCATGCAAATGCCTCCTTCTCTCCTTCTCAGTCATTCATCAACTTTTTATTTATTTGCCTCCCATCTTCAACTACACCTTTTGGACTGTCTCTTTCCATATATGCCCTGGAGAGCCTTGTGCTCTGCTGAACAACACCTACTGGTAGTTCCTGGCCTGAAGGATGTCTGCTTAGCCTTAGCCAGGGCCAGGGCCTTCTCTACCCTGGCCCCTGCCTGGTGGAATGCACTCCCAATTGAGATCAGGGTCCTGCGAGACTTACTACAATTCTTCAGGGCCTGCAAAGCGGGCCTGTTCTGTCAGGCCTTTGGTTGAGGTGGTGGATGTTTTTTTTACCATCTTGGCCTTCCCTGCCCATAGTATGTCTACAGATGCCTAACATCCTGCTAACATTTCATGGGAAGTGTATAGGGCTTCTCTGGACTGATGTGATGTTTTTTGCTGCATCTTGTTTTATTTAACTGGTTTTTAATCATATATTTATTGTTTCTATTTTTGTTGTGAGCCGCTCTGAGCCCATTGCGGGATAGGGCGGGATATAGATACAAAAATAAATAAATAATTTACCTCATTTATACACCACTTTTCTCCACAGTGGGGACCAAAGCAGTTTACATTATACGCCTCTCTCCTTTTTTCTGCATAACACTATGAAGTAGATTAGGCTGAGAGTATACGTAACTGTTTCAAAATCACCCAGTGAACTTCAACAACAAGATAGGCATCTGAACCTGGGTCTCGCAGACCGTATTCTGAAGCTCTAACTGCTACATCACACTGGCTTTCATAGGGTGGCTTCTGTTGAACAGTAGCAATCAGCCAGGCCTAGTTGAGTCACACAAGTCGGGTGATATCAAGTCACTCAGAGGTGGCTTCCAGGCCTAAGGTTGCCAGCCTCCAGGTGGGACCTAGAGATCCCTAATTGAACTCCAGATGACAGAGATTTGTCCCTCTGGAGAAAATGGCTGGTTTGGAAGGTGGACTTTATGGCATTATATACAGCTGAGGCCTCTCCCCTCCCCAGACTCCACCCCCAAATCTCCAGGAATTTCTGAATCTGGAGTTGGCAAGCCTACTCAGGCCTGGCCCTAATGAGTCCTCCCTCAAAGGTCAAAAGAGGCCTGAAAAGAGCCCTGCCTCTTCCCCCTGCCTTAACTCAGAGAAACCCAGCTTGGAAAAGTGGTTGCCTAACAACAGCAACTGAGGAAATCTGTTGCTTAAAGCTACAGGCACTCCTTTTTTTGTGTGTGTGGCTTTTCTAAACTTCCCAATGTGGTAGGTTTTGGGGGAAATGTCACATTTTTCTGCAAACCTGGGGTCCTTTTCAGGTTTGTAGAAAGATCCATCTTGTTCCTTCACAGCTCCAATCACCAGATTTAAGTATCCAAAGTTGGCTGACCAATTAGAATATAACATTACTGACTACTATAAATGATTAGTTGCTGCTACAGAAAGGAGAGAGAGAGAAATGGTACTGCTACTTGCAGCTTGTTAAAAGTAATCTGTAAATCATCCAGGGCCACATAATAATAAAGGCTCTGTACACAGATGCAAAAATACATGAAAAACCTCAATCCGCTGGCACAGTTGTACCACATGTTCCTCTGGGAACAAAATTTTATCTCCTGAAAACTATTATTCCTAAAGCTTTCTGTGACATATGAGTAGTTTCCATGCTAAGTATGCATGGTAAGAGAAAATTTAGCTGAAATCCAGATTACAGTGGGCAATTCCTATAGGAAGCTGTTCCTCATTTGTATGGTACTGCAAATTCCCATATACAAGGAACTGGCTAGAAATTTAAGAACAGGAACAAGACAGGTATTGTAGTCCAAGCCTAGATCGTAGCCATTCTATAGTTGGAAAATACCTTCTAGTTTCTTGCTTTTGCCTGATAAAGCAGGTGGCAAAAGCCTTTCATGTAAACTTGTGCTTCCCTGTACCTCTAATTTATGGATAGTGGCCATGACCCTTGCTGTAGCCTCCTCCCTAACCCATAGAAATGACAGAAGGAAATCAACTTTTAAAAACTAAGCCATTTCCCTACTGGCATTTTCTCCTGTTTACTTCAGTTCTGGCTTTGGCTGCTACCAGGCAGTAAGCATTATGCCAATGAAATATCTCCTTAGTATACAGTACAAGCAGAAAATTAAAAGTTAAAATCCCCATATGTAACCTGGAGAGCCTTGCACTCTGCCGGTCAAGATCTGCTGGTTGTCCTCAGCCCAAGGAAGGTCCACTTAGCCTCGACTAAGGCCAGGGCTTCTTCTGCCCGGACGCCAGCCTGGTGGAACATGCACCCGTCTGAGATCAGGGCCCTGTGGGACTTTACAGGGCCTGTGAAATGGAGCTGTTCTGCCAGGCCTTTGGCTGAGGAGGCAGGCGTCCAGTATAAACTGGCCTCCCCTGCTGAAGCTTACCACCTCTGTGTGGCCCAGATTAAGAAGATCTCAGAGACCCAATGGGGCCAGCCTGGAAATTATGTGCAGAGATAAATGTGACCTGTTCTAATCTATGTTGTTTTAAACTGTTTTTAATTATTTGTATTTTAATTATTCTGGAATATTATATTTATGTGTTTTAGCGCCTACTCGTGATCCGCCCTGACCCCACTTGCGGGGAGGGTGGAATATAAATTGAAATAAGTAAATAAAAATAAAAATACTAGATAGCTATATCTGAGAAATCTAATGAAACTATGAAGGCCATTTTTTGGTATTTATATGATGAATCGTGTGTTTAGAGACTTGTTACAGCAATAGGAGCAGAAATGAAGACAAATGAGCAAAATCTATTTATTGAATAAGCGCTACTCTGGGTCCAGCACAATCCAGTCACAACACCAAAGGACCCTTTGGGCCATTAAAACTTCAATATTATTCAGTGTATATTTGGTAAACATAAAGATCTCACCCTTAAACACCACTCTTATATTTCCTTCTAACTGGAAGAACTGGAGCATTTGTTTTCCTAAAGGTACACAAAGTATACTAAGAGAGCAACAGGTCTTACTAGAATGGGGGACATACTTAAAATGAGAAGCTCACTGGGTAATGAATAATCACTCTTCCTTTTATTTCAGTGTCATAACATTACAGTCAGAAGATGTTAAACAGAACCTATCAGGCATTTCAAAATAACCCTAAAACATTAAGCTTACATACACATAATTTGTGATTCAAGTCACCCATGAGATGTTTTACAGGAACCATGATGTGCTGGAAATACTCTTCCTTGAAAAGCATACAACTACATTTGTTTTAGGCCATAATCATACTTAACATTCAGTATGTTTACTCATCAGTTAAACCATCTATCCATGCAAACCATGGCTGTGTGTCATTGGGGAATCCTCATTTCTTTCAAGAACCTTACTACAAACAGAAGGACTATCTAACGTTTAATAAAGATAAGTGGTTACTGCAAACTTGGTTTTAATTTAAATGTAGGGATCATAAATAAACCAGTATAAAATATAGATTTTCAGACATGTTAATTTATCAGCACCAAGAAGAGGAAACACACCTGTATTGCCTACACATACTAAAGCAAATGCATTTCTCTTTTATTACAAGCCTAATCTTTCGAGATTATGGAATAAGATTTGGATATTTGTATGATACAGCAGTCCTTTTAGAACTCAGTGGAACTTCTTCAAAGTAAATGGGCTGCAAACAGTTATAAGTAAATCAGTTTTACAGGCTGGGCTTGCTAAAGGGGCACACACATAGTTTTTACATCAGGTAAGGTCAGTAGTTCCATAACTACACAGATAAGATTCAGGCACCTTCAATAACTTGACAGTTGTATTCCTACATTCAAAAGGGACAACTTTGATTTAAAATGCTTGCAGTCAGGATCAAACCACAGAAGATGTAGCAGATTTATCATCATGACTTCCCACTTTAACACACGGTAACTGCAGTAGTGTACTTGGGGGGGAATAATCCCCTCCTCCAGCATCAGTTTCCCAATTTAAATCATACACTCAACTATTTGCCCCATGGGGGAAAACTTAAAGGTACCCATATCCAATTTGCCTCCCCTATAATCTTGCAGATACTATTATGTTTGTTTTTTAAAAAGCATGATCGTTTTGTGTAGTTTGACCCTTAGTTAAGATCAAGAACTTCAGGTGCAAGTCAAGAATTCATACACTTCCAGAACTTGAGCCTGGAAGTCATCTTTGTGATCACAATCACCATTTAGCCTCATAACGGAGATGGACATTTATGGAGAGTCCTCTCTCAACAGATGCCCCCACAAAATACATTCCTTAGTTTAGAATGAAGCTTTCAGGTCTGGCACAAAAGCTATTTAAAAGACATACTCAAGGTTTTCATAAAGCAGCTAATGAGACAAAAACTCTTGGAAATGTGAGTGTGCATACTTCAGTAAAACATAGCATAGAAGATTAAATTTTAGTAGGGTCAGACTGGAAGTTTAAAATCCCAATTCAGACAGTTATTTCAAATACATATATTTACCCACATGCAAGATAAAGAGAGACACAATGCAATTAAATACATTTAAGTCTAAATTATTTCAAGAGGAGAAATTTCAGCATGTGCTGAAAGTAATCCTCGGCACATTTACATGGGAATAAGATTCCTCTGAACTCAGGTTTGCTTCTACACAAATATGTCTAGGACATGGCTGTAACTTTCCCACTGAACTCAGTGCTTTGACTGACTTATTCCCTAGGTCTAAAAACTAAGCAACATTCAACAGCTTTCACATATTTCAGACTTCAACATGCTGCTATGTAAAACGTTTTCTTTTTAGAGGAAAGCTTTGACAGCATTTCTTTCTAGAAATATATTCAGTTCTTTCTAGGAATATATTCCATCTGTCTCAGAAGTTACAAAACACAGGAATTCTTTAGTATGGGGAAGAAAAAGTGTAGTCCCTTTAGTAGAAATACTGCATGTCAGAAAAAAAAAACTAACATATCAGCGAGCTTCAAAGTACACAATACAAGATCACCAGGTATGTGAGTATGCAATCCTGAGCATGCTTAGTATAGAATAACTCTTGTTGAACTGAGTGGCACCTGTTTCCAAGTAAGCATGCTTAGGATCATGCTGCAATGCAAGTATGTGACTTCATGTTCATTCAGGGATTCACACAAAAACTTCAATACTTGTAAAGTCTGAGAGCATATATTATTATAGCTCTGCTTATTACAGCAGCATGTCATTTCTCAGTGACAAAAAAGGGACCAACTGCTAGGTAAGATGCAGTCCAACAAAATCTGAAAACTGGTTGTAAACGGTTTTTGAAATGGTCCCTGTCTTGCCAAAGCAGATCACCATTAGGCTTTTTCCATGCTATCGTGTAGTCAACTTGAGGGACAATACCATCACTAAAAGCACTTTTGTCTGTTGAAAACGGTATTTTAATAGATATTCTTTATCTTACATAAGAGCACAATACATACACCACATCCTATAGAAACCCCAGATACTGCTAGAATAGGTATGATGGCGAGAGAATTTGGATTTGAATACCATCCCCCCTGAACTGCGAGACAAACATTCCCCATGGCAAGCCGGCATTATACTGGCCACACTGAAAGCACAGAGATCAGAAGGTGGTCAAGGCAAGAGTAGGGTCAGAACAGCAAGGTTTAGAAAAACACAGGAAGTCTAAGAAGGGGTTAAAATAGGCTCCAATAAGATATATACATTTTAATGCAATGGTTAAAAGAAAGAGAAGTGAGTGATCTGTATCTAATAAAGGAAAAATTGATCCAGAAAATAGCTTAAAGGTTTGCACGTAAAGCCAGAGCTTTAAAAGGCTAGCTGCAAATGCCTTAGCAATCAGTTACCTGGACTGTAACATCTCACTTTATGCAGAGGATTGATTATTTAAAAAAAAAAAATGTAAGTTCTCTAAATGTGTAGTCTGATACCAGATAATAGTTAGCACAAGACAGACAAGTTACACATACATCCAACATTGCTGTTTGTTTTGCTAGCTTCCTGCTTCAGTGGTACTAAGTACATACACATCAATGATGTATCTAACCTAGCTGGACTCTGACAAGCGATCACGTTTACCAGAGGCTTTTTTAAAAAACACAAAAACAAAAATGTTATGAATACAATAATGTGGTATGGCCTATTAATACAAGTCAGCAAAAAATCCAATATTTTACTACACCTGTTAGGCTTGTGAAAATGAAAGGTTCCAATCCAACTTCATTAAAAAAATACGATTGTCACAAGTGAAAAAAGAACACAGCAAAACAAACTGTACAAAGGCAAAGTAGAATAACAAAATATTTTACTAAAACATAAGATTTACAGAAGATTTTCCAGACAAGCCATACAAAATGGTCACAAGCTTTTCCTTGAAGGGAGGGTTTTTACACTTGACAGCAGAATCACAATATTATTAGTGATGGTGATGGATGTTTAATGTTCCCATTTTTGTTCAAACAATCAAGCTTGTCCATCTACAGCGTCTAAGTTAGACTTGGCTAGAGGGCAAATTCTAGAGTATAACTGGTTAGCTGCTTTAACCAATGCAATTAGCATCACCATAAAAAAGGGGAGAAAGGGCCCACACAATTAGAACAAAAATCCCTGCAGCTAACCCTGACTACTTTCATTCACAGTGCTTACACTTAAACCATGATGGGGGGAAAAACTTATTAAAAGCAGAGGTGTGCTACTGCTTTTAAACAATTTTCACAACAATCCCGATGATATTTCTAGCCTCTGCTCATGCAGAACAGGAGTGAATTAGGACAAGACACAGATTTGCTAGTGCGCATTTAAATCACCAAAAAAACTGATGTCTGGGTTTTTATTCTGTAATGTTTTCTAAGACTGTGTCCATTAAATGCAAACAAAAAAGGAAGAGGTCTTGGCAGAACAGGAAAAAGTGATGCACACTGTTTCAGAGCACATTTTAAATATTATTCATGGCATATAGCCTAGTCCATGCTCTGGCTGTAAAAAAAAAGAAAGAAATATGTATTAACAAATCATCTCAGTTAATCTTTATCAATATTCTCTGACACCCCATCTTTTTTTTCCACTGAAAACTCATGGTGTGTAGTTAAAGATTAGCATTTAATTACCGGTACCGTGGACATCATACAAAGGTGTGAGGGGGCATTTTGCACCTTGATTTTTCAGCAAAAACATCCACAGCAGAATTACATTGATAGATGCAATCAAGCCATGATAACCTGAGTGATGTTTGTGGCCAGGGATCCCCAACATGGCACCCACTTGTGTCTTCTCCCAAACATCTAATTCCTAAAGCAACCCTGTCTTCTCTCTACCTGCTTCAGAAGACCCCTGGAAGTATCACTTTGGGTCTGCACAGAGCACCCATTCAGAAAACCCAACTTCATGGTTTGCTTACAACCACCTAACATATTGACCCCAAGTTATTTTATGATTGGCCCCATCTCCCAAGGCAGCCAATTTGCAGTGGATTCCACCACCCTATTGCAAAATTCCAAAAGTGCCCACAGGATCAGCACATTTGGGGACCCCATTATGACACATCAGCTCTCATGGACAGGTCTGCAGCATGTCTAGTACTCACAGGAGACAAGTTACAACCCTGTTGCCTTACAGTTTTATAATCCACCTCTAAAAATTAGCTGATTTAGGATTTATTAAACTATTACTGTGTGAGCCCTGCAAGACTGCTGGGAGGTTATAGTCTTACAACAGAAATTACAGCTCCAAGATTGCAAATGTTGCCATGGAGACCTGCTCAACTGCTACATTTCCTCATCTGAGCAAATGGTCAGTGACACTTGCACTGAAACTAGCTCTTGATTCTTCAAACGCAACCTGTGCTTAGAAAGGTGCATGCATTCCTAAAATCCAGGCATGGTTATCAAAATTCCAAAAGATCAAATGAATCCTATATCTAAAATATATCCACTGCATTTATGTATGAATTCTGATAAGTCTACAGAAATTTTTTACTGTGTTTCTAAGCCTATCTGGAGAACTAAGAGTTTCATATATCAAGTCAGTAAAATGCACAATAAAGAATACACCACCTGTTTCTATGGCTTGGGCTTCATTGGTCTTCCACTGCTCAGCTACATCATTTGCTAGTGGATCATCTGGGTTGGGAGCACTTAACAAAGCCTGGATTGATAGCAGAACTGTACGGATCTGCAAAGCTGGAGACCATTTGTCTGAGAAGAGAAAAGTTAAAGTACTAAAGCAACAGTTTTAATATAGACTGTTTCCCTTTAATAGATGACTACACAGTATGAAAAACCTTTTAAATATCTGTGTAACTTTAAGGTATGGAAGAGAAAATGTATCACTCTGACGATTCCAAATACTTACCTTTCAAAATATCTAAACATATTCTTCCCAATTTGTCTACGTTAGGATGATAAATTTTGGTCATGAAACGTACTTTCGGAGCTGCCATTGGGTATTCTTCCGGAAGGAATAGTTCAAGTTTAAACGTCCCACCCTCGAAGGGGGAATCCTGTGGACCTGCAATGACCACATGAAAATAACGTGCATTGCTTTCGTCTGGTTCCGCTTTTATTCCAGGAACAGGTTCTGCCAGCAAGCGCTGGGTTTCCTGAAAAGGGGAGGGGGGAAAAGCAATTTAATACAAGCATACAATGCAAATCTTCACTGACACAAACCATCTTCAAATTGTTCTAATTCCAGTTCAGGTTCCTAACTCCACATGAAACTTCCTAGTAGGTGAATACTGTAAGACATCAATAAACATAGAAGTCCAGGAGCAGAGAATGCTCTTTTCAACAACTCTTGCTGTCCAAGATACTGGGTGTCAGACCTGGGGCTTTCTGCATGCAAAGCATGAGCTCTGCCCCTGAGTCACAGTCCCTTGCCATAAAAGAACTATTTGAGAACTGCCCTTGTACTAGTAAAAGAAAGTAAAATAATGTCAAGTAATCTTTTTATGCATTTTCAGGAGCTTGATATTTCATAGTCCATACTCTGGATATAGGTGTTTAATTCTTTTTCAAACTATTCACAATGAAAGATAAAATCAGTTACTTTAAAAACATTCAAATATAAACCAAGACTACTTTCTCTGTTTGTGTGGATCTTTCACAAAAGATGTGTGGATGCCATTTTTAAAGCAAATGCTTAGCATGGAGTGATGCGGCATATTGAATGCGCCCTTATCAGGGATGTGCAAACAGGGTGCCCAACACGCAGTACTGAATAATGACAAGCTGCTAGTTAAAGCTTCCATAAATCTCTCCAGAAGGGATAATACTTCAAATACTGATGTGATAATCTTCACTAAGTCACCCCTTTTGTATTTTAAGTACTTTAAATTCAGAAATGAAGACAAAAGCAGCAAAATATCTTTTGAAGTTCTTCTACAAAAGAGCAACAATTTTCCCCAAGTAATTACTTAAGGAATCATTTAACCATAGGGTTATGTGGTACTCACAAGAGGGAAATCAGGAGGGGTCATGTGGTTTCTTATTTCTAGATTAGGTCAGACACATGAATCTGAACAGAAAAGTGTAACCCGACTTGGAGGAATTTACAGCTGTACTACACAGGGCTGTGGAGCTGCGGTGGCTCAAGTGGTTAAGACGCTGAACTGCAGGCTGTGGAAGGTCAGTAGTTCAGCGGTTCAAGACCCGGGTGCCGCAAGATAGGGTGAGCTCCTGTCTCTAGTTCCAGCTCCTGCCAACCTAGCAGTTCGAAAGCAAGAAATTGCAAGTAGATAAATAGGGACCACTTCGGTGGGAAGGTAACAGCGTTCCGTGCGCCTTGGTGTTTAGTCATGCCGGCCACATGACCACGGAAAACGTCTTCGGACAGCGCTGGCTCTTCGGCTTTGAAACGGAGATGAGCACCGCAACCCTAGAGTCGGATTCGACTGGCTTTCGAGCAAGGGAACCTTTACCTTTTACACAGGGCTGTACCCGTAGCCTCTCTATTCTACCCCCTTCTCAGATCTGTTCTGCCTGCCAGCTGATACAAGCATACCTTATTCATGCTTCCTGCAAAGCATGTGAGCTGGCTGGTGCTTCCCGCCAACTGTGGGGGCGAGGGGAGAAGAGTACTATAGTTTCTGTGCCTCTGTGTACCAACACCACCCCATCTGCCAGAAGTTACAAAGAGTTTGCCCTGCCTAGTCTAGAATGAGTGCAATACTGGAAGAACTCAGGCAAATAGGGCCCATTCTTACACAGACTCAGAAAGCCCTCCCAAAGCCAATGAGAGATACAATAATTGGTGGAAAGTAGTAACTATAAAAATATCATTCAAGATGTTCCTGTTCCAACATCCCTGCCAGGATTGATGATGACAAATCCCCTTTGCCCCAGTTCTAGCCAATAACAGGGTAACTGTCAGGTTGCAAGGCTTCTGCCCACTATCAAATACCGAAAACAATTTTGTTCAGATCTGCAGTATCTGCAACTGGGGCATGGCTTGGGTCAGATGACTGTCAGTGAGCTCCAAGCGGCACATCCCTACTTCTCACTTCATCTCCTGTACCAAGTCAAGGACTGATGAACATGTGTGCAAAAACAAGTTAGCGTGTTGAGAATTTATGCAAATTTCCCATTTCCTGAAGCTCAGACTGAAAGTTCAGAATCAGAAGCTACGAAACTCTCAAACACTGATTCAGAGTAGAGAAATAAATTTATGCTAGATTTTCAAATATATATTCACTGGGCTGTGGGGAATACAAATAAACTAAAGACAGACTAATCTGGTCAGTTGCTACAGAACATACAGTCTAGAAAGGATCACAGAGTTCAATGGGACCTACACACAGCTTAGTGTGCAAAGGATCACAGCACATGTTCGATATACAAATAGAGAATTCACTGTTACTATCAAATTTAATTTAACATCCACATTTTTTGCTATTCCTTAATCTCGCTGTTTTCTTAATTTTCTCTAAAAAATATGGCTTAATTTAATTTCTGCATTATAATGCCAAGGCATTACACTTGCCTTTTCACAATGATGTTGACAATTTACATTTTGAACCTCTTCCACCCCCCATGTCCCTTACCATTTTCCAAACTAATGAAAAAAATGAAGATATAGTTGAGGAACTTTCAGCTGTCCCTGGGGATCCCCAGCTTAGATATGATTAAGGGTCTTTTGCTGGCCCAGTGGAATTTCTGACTTCTCTAGACAGCTGACTCTCATACTTTGACACGAACTGTTTTGGAAAGCCCCCTCTTAGTTTCAAAAGCAGTTCACCCGGAAGCACAGGAGGCAGATGTTAGAGGTAACTAAGTCTATATTGTTCCTTTGGGTTCATGGATCAAATTTCATGATTCTTTGGATCTTCATCTGGATAAACTTATTGTTAGAATGAAGCTAATGATATTTTAATCTTTTTATCTTTTCTATTTCTTCAATATAACAATATATACAGTAATAAAAATAACAACACATTTCAGGTTGTCAAAGAAGGCAAGAGACTAAGCAAGTACTTATTCCAGTTTCCAAACACACAGGCTTAACCAAATCTTCAAGCATTTTCAGAAACATTACATCTCTAACCCTTACTCTAAACGGCTTCTCATCAGCATCTATGCATCAATACAGTTCTCTTCTTTCCTTCTTAATAATTTTGCAGACCCACTTTCACCACAAAAGCTCTTCTGGCCTGCCACAGACTAACTTCCCACTCATTATCAGCTATCACTCCCTTCCCACTCACTTAAGTCCTATCTAGCTTGAACCACTAAGCAAAAATGTTATTTGGTATTCCATACAGTACTAAGCAGTGTGTGTACTAGTGTTAAAAGCAATCTTCATCAAATTCAGGAAGTGCCAGAATGAAGATACCTTTCGTTTTCCTGACAATCATTTTCTCTGCTTTGCTCACTGCTTGTTAAGACATATGATCCCCTCTTTCCATGCCTCTTCGTAACTTTTAAAGGAGAGAGAGCTATTATTAGCACTCAGCCACTAGTCAAAAAAGTTTAAAGAACTTGAGATTACCAAACACCTGTCATACATGTGAAGAAACAGTTGCAGATCTTATTCCCTGTCACCTGTTTGTTTGCTCAGTCACTACTAAGCCATTTTACTCCTCCTTGCCACTTCAGTCTGAATCACACACTCATCTACTAACACACCTTACAAGTTATGGAACAATTTCCTGTCATTGGTTCTTTAATGATTCCTCCCAATTCATGCAAGAAAAACTGCTGGAGATGGCACTTTCCCATCACCATTCTGGTACTTATACTGGAGGCAGTGTTCATATTTATTTGCTCATATTAAATTCATAGTTAATAAGCAATCCTCTGATTAAAGGACAAAAAAGGAAACTTAGTTACTGTTGTCTCCGTATACTAATGGATACTAATATGCTTCAGGTACGTGGAATACAGAGGATGACAAGTGATCAATACACTGACAGAATATAAAGATCCTGTATTATGGCTTCAGTGGAGGCTGTGAAAGTGTCAGGATTTAAAACCAGTCGAGTTAAGTAAGGAAAACAGTGTTTTTAAATCAGCACATCCAAAAAGAGGAGTTAAAGTGTTTTTGCCACTTTTCTGGGACCGTAATGCTGACTGCACATCACAGGCCAGACTAAATTACATTTCATTTGCTACTGACAGCACATTAAGCATGTTCCAGTATTTAAGCATTTGTTACACATATTTTGTGATGTTTGTAGCAAGATGGGGGAGGGGGGGAATTAATGCCTGCAAACTATCTATAGAGTATATTTTATCCCACTTTTCTCCCCAATGGGGACTCAAAGCAGCTTACCACAAATACACTTTTCACATAAAAAATACACTTTTCACATAACAAACAAGGACAAAAGGTAGACGAGACATCCTGAGTTAGTGTCCGCCAGGTTAAACCATCTGGCCAAGGCCACAGGTTGTTACCGACAGGTTGAGAACTAAGAGCCCTACAGCTCACATCCAAGGGCTCACACCCTCAGACATGCCCAGGGTATAGATACTGCGGGGCCACTACTGAAGCAGAACGAACAGCTGGTATTACCATGACAGCATTAGCAAGAGTCCACAGAGATGAACCTACATGCAGCAAATGGAAATGGAAGAAAGCAGCAAGCATTTTCAGAGGTAAATCCACGAAGATTGCACCATTTTAGAACCACCACATCAAGGCTACTCTTCTGTGCCATCTTCATAGAGATACCAAGAAACACACCAAACTGTGACATTAGCTATAACCACGAACTGTATATTAAATGAATAAATACTTCAAAATTATAAAGTGCATTGTGTCATTTGATAACATGTGTGAAGCTTAAACATATTTAAATGACATAAGAACATAAGAACATAAGAGACGCCAATGTTGGATCAGGCCAAAGGCCCATCCAGTCCAACACTCTGTGTCACACAGTGGCCAGAAATACCAGTGCCATCAGGAGGTCCAGCAGTGGGGCCAGGACATTAGAAGCCCTCCCACTGTTGACCCCCCCCCTCAAGCACCAAGAAGACAGAGCATCACTTGCCCCAGAGCCCCTAGCTATACCTTGTGGCTAATAGCCACTGATGGACCTCTGCTCCATATGCTTATCTAATTCCCTTTTGAAGCCGTCCATGCTTGTAGCACCCACCACTT